TTGTTTACCTGCATGGGCCCCGACAACAGCTGTTCAGCGCCAGCGCCTGGATAAGGATATTAACTTCGCGGTCGAATTGTTGCCGGCAAACGCAGGTCAGATCACATCACAGATCCTGAAAACAGTTTGATTGGCCCAATTTCGACGGGACTCTCACCCACCGCGACTGCATATGTTTGCAGCGCGCCATTTACGTGCCTGATGGGCCACGGGCTGTCAGTAACCTGATTTGGTGCCGATCTGAAGTATCTCAGCGGCACACCAGAGCCACTGATGACGAAACTGTACTGCAGACGAGCGCTGTAAAACAGCCTCGCTTAGAGTGCGTGAAAAGGGCATTTTTCTATCGAGCCGTGGAGGCGTGGAATCGGCTCACAGCTGCCACGCGCAAGTGCAAAAACTTAAATGAGTTCAAGGGCAAAGTAATGTCTTTCATCAGAGAACTTACCTAAATTGACCAACTGGCCATGACGTGCAGGTGCTGATTGTATCATTAGTCGCTCATGTTTTATAACATCGTTCGTGTATCGCTGGCGTTGCGGCCCATTTGCATGTGTTGCGTGTCTGTGTTTATCTACGTGATATGTACTGACGCGGCGTTAGAATGGCCACTCGCTGGATTTCGCCAAAGTTCGCAATAATGATAATGATAATAAAAATAATAATAAGAAGAAGAATATTTTCCCCTTACCAACTGAATACGAGCCCTATGTTCGGCATTTATGAGTTAAGAGTTCCTATCAACGGACTTGGCCGTTATTGCTGACTTATCGTTCTTCATTTTACCACGAGGAAGGACGAGCGTGTCAGCATAGTCGCTCAGTACTGTCTCACAGGCTTCCTAACGGCTTTGTCTCTTTGGACCTTTGGTTTTGGTTGTTTGTTGTTTTTTTTTTTTTGCTTATCCTATCAGCTTTTATTTTTTGGGATTTTTGTCGACTTTTTCAATGATAAGACCTTTCTTCACTTCGAACTGTTTTAAAGTAGATTTCCAATTCGATGTAAACAATTCGGATTTTTCCCTTCTGACTTTTCCCGTTTCAAATTTATTGCTGTAGACTTCTGGCATTTGAATTTGTCCAAGTCGACTTTTATCCTCGGTTGAATTTACGTCCTTTGACTTTTTATAAGACTTTTATACTAACTGTCTTTTTTTGTTAAATCTTTTTCTATTCTCCTTTTTTTTGTCTGGGCACCGGGTAAATTGGCACTGTTCTTTAAGCACTACTTTTTAAAATATGCTATGTTTAAAAAAACGTCACTTTGCGTGCACTGTTCATTCCAGTCAACCTCTGTTAATGCATTCAAAAGCTCTCATAATATTCATGCGGAAAGTCGAGGCGTCTCCAAAGCACAGATGCCTTTCCCTCCGCACACACACTGAGTCTGATAGTGTTGTGAGCACTGTTTCCAAGAGCTTCATGAACTGAAGTTATCAATGGCTCCAGGAAGGCTGCGAATGCACACTGTCTCTCCTCCTTTGAAAAGTTGGTCTGAGTTTGCACTTGACGACATGACAATTTGGGGGGCATTTAAATCACCCAGCGTTGTTACAGAGCAGTCATAATAAAGTTGCAATGTTACAGAGCAGTCATAATTTTTGGTCCATTGGCGCATCTGCTGCACTTTACGTAACACCTCACCTGACCATTTCGGATTTACACGCCTTTACATCCAACCACATAAATTCTGCTATCTCTGATGGGCCAGCACCGATAACTTAAGTGGAAAGCAAAGCCTTGTTGATATAAAAACTCCTCCATAGGTGCGATTTTTACGCTGGCACAAAACGCAGTCATAGCCATTAAGTTTACACTCACTGATGGTGTTTTCCAAAACTGGTTCATTTAGCCATACGTCTATGCTGCGTATAGCATCAATGTTCTCTTCATAAATGTAGGTAGGGAATTCGTCTGTCGTATATTTGGAACTTCTTGCATTTGCTACAGAAGACAACATGCCTCCGATGGATGTTTTTCTGCTCACAATTTGGCCAAAAAATATTAGCCAATTTTTTGTGATGCCTCTAACGTTTTTAGTGGACATGAAGGATCTCTATTATTTTTCGTGAGCTTATAGGACCCCAAAACAAGAGCACAAGGTCCCCGCACAGCATAATAAACAATCAGTTTTCAACCACGGCCTTTCCAAGTGGTTAAGAACCATTCTCACCTGCACATGAGTATTCATCTTTGGATGGGGCTCTTCGTGGTCCATTGGACACCCGGAGACGTACAGTTGCTTGTGCTTCGTGATAAAATTGGCACCCGTTTTTCGTTTATGGACCTTTTGGTAGTCCTAGCGGAAGGATGGAACCATGCCCCCCGCCCCCCGGACCCGACACTGGTGGAATCTGGTATTTGGGGTCTGGGGGTACCTGGAATGCGTTTTAAAGTTTGCTCAAGGGATCTTTGAGATCGATGATGCATTTGCGAGATCGAGACCCATGTCCACGTATCACCATGAGTCGTTTTAATAAAGCGTCGCCTGCTCTGGAACTTTATCATTGTTAGTCGCTATTCGTGCTTGGCAGCGGTCTTCATCGACCCACACCAGCTGCACGCTCACATTACTAAACAGCAAAGTGGGGGTATCGACCTGGCCACCTTTCACGAGTCAATGCTCCCCCACCCCGCCTCCGCCTCAGCCTGGCATACTGGCGTGTACATGCGCTTTCGCCAACCCTTATGTCTCAAGGGTGTTTCGGCCAAAAGCTATCTAGGCGGTGATGAATCAGCATTTTTGGCTTAAGTTTGTATGAAGGTTTGGTGTGGACTGCATAGGCCAGTCCCTTACTCCGGTACCTTTAAATTAAATCGCTCAGACCTTTGCGCGTCTTAGTCCTCAGGGGTGTTAAGTTTATTGCTTTGTTTATCCGTTCAACTTCTATAATTTGTAGGTTGTGGTGCGGGGAAACATGACTTTTTCTTAGCATAGGACTGGTGCTCAAGTGTTGGTAGGTGCACTGCTATATGCGACGAATACACGTTGCTATGGATCGGTAAACATTCGACTAGCATTCGACTATATTAATGGATCCAGCTGTGAGGTCTGGGGCCAAGCTGTTCGGTTAAAAAACAACTTACCCCAATGTTATACTTGTCCTTTGATTTAGGTTACATCGCCCGCGCGCAAAACAATGCCGCTGTTTTTCGGTCACGATTTTGATGTGACGCACGGGCGTGGCGCTTCGGAAGTGGGTTTTCCCATTTTTCCCCATGTTTGCTAAAAATCCGTTTGCCTGGGAACGCCCGCCCTTTTGCAGAATCATTTACTGAAGCAAATGACGTCACGGGTGTGGGGACCGCGTGCTCGTTACTTTAGGAGCAAGAACAGATATGCCCGGGGTTTTAGCCTTTGTACAACTGAGCGACATTGGCTACTACAGATAACACTGACATCGTGCTTCCAAAAGCCTTTCAAATCCTGTCGCTATCACTATCTCTATCGAAATCGCTATCGCTATCAAAAGCCTATCGCTCACAAATTAGACCGTATCGTATATTTCGGCATTATTCTTTTGAGGTAGAGCTCTGAACAGATTACAAGTCGCAGCAACACAAAGATACAGATCCTATCTTTACTCTTCCAGTTTCACCACCAGAGTCCAGCATCAGTTGGTGGCGCTGTTTATGCTAATCCTTTCATATTATCCATCGAAAAGTTGCACAGGTGAAATCTGCACCAGGGTTGTCTTCTTAAAGTGCGGATTGGTGTCATAAAGCGTTTAAAGGTGCTTATTTCAAATACGTCTGTGACTTGTGGCCCTGTGACGTTGTCCCTCCTTGGCGAATTGGCCTAGGTTGACCCGGTCCGACTGATTGTGACTGTTACCCTCTGACCGATGTCGAGCCCTCATTGGTACCGATCGACGACGTGGTCGTCGATCGCTTCGAGGGGTCCTCTTATTTAAATGCAAAAACACCGGTCGGCGGGGCCTGAATTCCTTAAGAGGACCTCCTGTCGCCTCTTTTGACCTTATGGGACCCTTGATCGTCGGTCCGAAGGGGCGCGAAGGAAAGAGACGTGCCTCTATGTTCTCACTTTCGCCTACGCCTCTGGGACTATAGAGGTCGCACAGGCCGAGCGCCAACACACGCTGAATAATTTTTCAGGCGGACCACAGGCAGTTGAAATGAGCTTAATTTACCCTGAAAGATAACTACGGAAGCCTGCAGGTAATGCAATACGAAGTTAACATCCGGAACTCCTACAATGCACTGCACTGAACGTACTCCTGAAACATATGCGTATTATACGGCCGGACCCATAAATCTGGACCATGACCCGGATCTAGATCTAGATCTGGATATAGATCTAGATATGAGCCTGGAACTGAACCTGGATTTAGATCTGAACCTTGACTTTGACCTGGACCTGGACCTGGCGCTCTGGCATCACCAAACCACCAATTCAAATCCAGCGATACCTTTTCATTGCTGCGGCTCAGTTTTCCAAACTTTGGTACCTGTCTTAACTCCACAGTTTGCAGTCAAGTATCGCGATAGTTGCAATACAGTACGTCAGTGGAACTTTTGTGATTATTTGAACGCTTTTTTACTACCTGGTGCCTATCATTGCTGGATGTCCACCGAGGCATGGAAGCATCACTTTTTCAGTTTGATTTATCCAGAACACTAGTTTTAATTTATGAAAAGTTCCGAAAAGCATTACCTCCAAGACCACTACATGCGTTGATGATCGTAAAAGTAGTGTGAATGGAGCAAATTATTTATTTTAAAAAACGCTGGCAGTAACATAAAGTATTTCTTCAACTACGTAACCCACATTTCGTGAGTGCTACATCCTTATAGCCATACCATAAATTACGGGCATATCCATATCCGTAATTTTCTTCAAGCCCAGCACCAAACGAAGTCCCTTACCCACACCATGTGAGTACCCATAAATTTATCCGACCCCTGACGTCCTCTAATGGCGGTCCACTTTTGTCTGTCTGTGTGTGCCACTAATGGCCTACGGGAATTATCGTATTTCAGATGGAAGGCTCAAGTGTTCAGACAGTCGGCGACGTCCCTGCGCCCAACCGAAGGTGAGTTTGGCTCCGGATCCGCCGCTCACGCATGATGGTGAGTGCGGGCCAGGTTCCATCAAGCTGCAGTGCGCCGCCGCCAGAACACTGCTCCAACGTAAATCCAACCGCGAGAATAATTTGCTAATTATGTTGTGATGCCTTTAGCATCAGTTTTGCGCAGCATCAGGGTCTCTCATCCCTTGCGATTGCCGATGGATCGGATCATTGCAGCAAGGGATGACGAAACACCCGTCCGGCCGCGCGTCACGCTTTGTTTTGGCGCTCTCTGTTGAGCGGTAGACCTTGCCGTTTTGGCGCTCTCTGTTGAGCGGTAGACCTTGCCGTTTCGTCTTCAGTGGGCGTCGCCACTGGGCCACTGCCGGCTTCTGCTGCCGCGTTTCATCGGGGCACCATTGCCGGTCGGGAAAAATTTCCAGCATTTCAGCAGCATTTTCCGTCAGTAAGGATTATGCAATCACCTACTGCCGATAGTATTTAGCTGGTGACTCCGCGGTGACACGGCGCCAATCGAGTAGTGACCGGTCAGTGATAGGAGCGATGGCGGCGCGCAGACACACAGCTGGTGAACACTTGTCGGCGCCGGGCCGCGACGGCTCCACCGCGCACCGGGCGTACCACTGAGGCCGCGACCCGCGCGGGTGTACCGGCCGTGCCCATCGCCAGTGTGCCGCTGCCACTATGTGCTGCGCCGTGTCTACTGATCAGGTGAATTTGCTGCCTAAGAATCGCATGGCTACGCCGCTCTCTCGATGTGGTGTATTGGTGAGAGGCCTATGGGATGGATCATAGGTCCGGGGTCAGGATATTGGCGCTGTTTTGTTAACAAGATCGCAAATGCGGCATCCCGGGTAGTATCGAACGACGCCACAAACAGAACTAGTCATGTGTGATAGAAAAATTGCCGGTCGGGTTTGTTCTCATTGTCCATGCAGGAAGAGAAAGCGACTTGGATAATTGGTGTAGGCAAAAGCCATATATACGATGTCAAAATAGAAGTTCAAACACGGAACGTTAGAAAATAAAATCGAACAAGACCAAAGTTAGATTAGAAGCAGGAAAACCGGAAAGAATGTCAACAGTGGTGAGATTGGAAAAAGTATTGATGGTCGCATTTCAGTGTAACTTACGACCAGTTCCAGAGGATGCGGGGCTGGGACTGGGCCTGGTCTAATTCTAGTCCTATCATATTCTTAGAGCTGATTTTGGAAGACTACAGCTCCACCCAAACAGGTTGCCTACATATTTCATCGATTCTAACTTTTGCTTGTTGGGTTCATGCCCTGGTGTTTGACTATATTTTTTTCATTTGGAGACTTGTCATCGTCGTTGCGTCCTTGAGCTTCTAGTTTGAATTTGATCCCAGCTGGCTTTCATTCCATTTGAATCGATATCAAGGGCGTTTTTTATGTTGACCATGACCGCTGCTGACCTCGAACCTGTTTTACATTTCTTTTCCCGTGAGACCATACGCTTGTATTCCTGAACTTGCACAATTTGTTGTTTCTCTATCGCATCCATACCCGCACGTCATTTACTTGCATCCAAAACAACGCATACGAAGTGTTACTAAACGGCGGACCCTTTTGGATATCTCGCCTCAATAGTTTTCGACGCTCAGGTTATTGGTCTTAGATACGCTTCAGAGTGACCAGACTTAGTTGCCTTTTGATACAATATGTCTAACACTGCAAAGATTACGCGTTGCTATTTGCTGGTTTTGTGAAGGGCTTCCGCTCCCGCTGTCCCCCACCACCGGTTCTGCCGTCCGGTCAGATGTTGAGGCGACCACAGCGCCCTCAACGTTCACAACCCGCGACACCACTGGCGCGTACCGACGCCACCACCAACTCAGTGAACAACTGTTCTTTGTAGATGTCGCTGCACGTCAGTGCGCTTGGTATTTTAGGCAACGCCCACCGCGGTGGTCATTTTGTGTCAGGTGTGCACCGTCGAAACTGCAAAATGTGATAGGTGTGACGCAAATAGCTAGGTTCGACATGGTGTTGGCGATTTTAACGCGTGTTCACTGTGCTCGCTCGAATACCCCTGCTGAAGGTTCCACATCAGTGGTGCGGCAAAAATTCCTACCGACAGCAGTGCTACATCACTTCTACTGCCGGTACCTATGACGATATCGTTGCTACGTGACAAAACTTATGCTTCAAATATTTAAGCTTGTCATATGCTTGTGATAAATATACGTATATATATATGTATATATATATATATATATATATATATATATATATATATATATATATGTGTGTGTGTGTGTGTGTGTGTGTGTGTGTGGTGTGGTGTGTGTGTGTGTGTGTGTGTGTGGTGTGTGTGTGTGTGTGTGTGTGTGTGTGTGTGTGTGTGTGTGTGTGTGTGTGTGTGTGTGTGTGTGTGTGTGTGTGTGTGTGTGTGTGTGTGTGTGTGTGTGTGTGTGTGTGTGTGTGTGTGTGTATGACACGGGCGCTACGCCACAAGACTCATTCGAAAACTTATTCCCGTCATTTCTTGTGCAGCAAAAGCTCATACAGTTAATATCTAGACGCGACATTACTCGCACTGCAAATGGATGCACACACGTCATTAGTTTTAATTTTTTCGTGTACTATTCATGTTAAATATGAGTTTAGCAGTAGAAGTAGTGTCGCGTAGAAGTAATGACTGTATGTTTTTGCAGTAGAAGCAATGACGGGTGCAATGGTAAATATAGTAAAGGTATAAGTTTTTGAAGCACAACTTTTGCGACAGGAGTAATGACGGATATAAGTTGTTGAAGCAGAACCTTTGTTGTGTATCACTAATGTCGCGTATCATTTGTAACAGAAGTAATGTTGCGTGTAAGTTAAGTTTGGTTAAGTTTTTACAGCAAAAGTGATGACGCGTGTAACTAATGCCGGAGCCCCCTGTCAGTAGGAGATTTTGCTGTGGTACTGATATCGTGAACCCGTACTGACGCTGCTCGCAGGCACCTATACGGCTGCTCTGTATTGCTTAGCGATGTGAAGCAGTACTGCCAAGCGAGCCTCGGGCACATTTTCGGGATAGGCGCTGTGATATTGTTTCTTCACGATGAACAGTGGTGTGCGTGCGTGCGTGCGTGCGATGTTGGGCCACTGGTATTTTGGTGGCTGTGTTTTCTTGCCTTGTGTTGTCATCGTTTCTTCTAAACAGTTTGGTTCCCTGTCACCGCCTTTTTTCTGGGCGTTTGACCCCTTTCCCTTCTACGGCTTTGACCCTCAAAGGGCCGTTACGTAACATGGTAGAAGAAGGGCGGCAGACTGTATGTCGTCGGGTACGTAGAGAGGGAGTATGAAATATTGCTTGTCGCAAGACGTTTTGTGAGAGCGATCCGTGCTAACAACAGCGTATTACGCATGCTACACATTTATGTATGCATACTGCCCCTTGTGCGTTATGTGTCTGGACTGACGGTTCAACAAATAATGACGTTTCCCGGATCTCGACAGTGGACGTGGGACAATCGTGATATATGTGTGTTGGGCGGGGGGGGGGGGGAGGCGGAGGGGGCGCAGTCTGGCTGAACTCTGGATCAGCCAGCGATGATCTCGACCCCTGAAACCCGCGCGAAGACCGCACTTTTGTGCCGCGGGCGGTGTTAGATGTGCGAAGGAGCAGTGAATGAGTGTGAGTGTGATTTGAAGTGATCCTATATCGGGCAGACTGTGACTTAGAAGGTGTGATTAGTGCACAGACTGGCTTCGGCGGGTTGCTCTATGGGCGGCGATAACTGCGCAAATGTACGTAGAAAAAAAGAGGGGCAGTGTATGACAGGTGCGTGCCCAGGGTAACAGGTAGTGTCTGGCAAATGGACGTCCGGGATAAGAGGAAGTGTCTGGCAGGAGGACGCCCGCGATGGGAAATAGTGTCTGGCAGGAGGATACCCGGGATGAGACGTAGTGTCTGGCAGGAGGACGCCCGGGGATGAGAGGCATTATCTGGCAGGCGGACGCTGGGTATAGGAGGTAGTGTCTGTTATGTGGACGTCCGGGGCGAGAGGTAGTGTTTGTCATGTGGACGCCCAGGATGAGAGATAGTGTCTGTCTTGTGGACGTCCGGGATGATAGGTGGTGTCTGTCATGTGGACGTCCGGGATCAGAGGTAGTGTTTGTCGTGTGGACGCCCGGGATGAGAGGTAGTGTTTGTCATGTGGACGTCCGGGGTGAGAGGTAGTGTCTGCCATGTGGACGCCCAGGATGAGAGATAGTGTCTGTCATGTGGACGTCCGGGATGATAGGTGGTGTCTGTCATGTGGACGTCCGGGATCAGAGGTAGTGTCTGTCATGTGGACGTCCGGGGTGAGAGGTAGTGTTTGCCATGTGGACGCCCAGGATGAGAGGTAGTGTCTGTCATGTGGACGCCCGGGGTGCCACTGAGTGATGTAACGAGGTGGCATCAGTAATGCACAGGGCTGCCCCGTTTGTGCGAGATGGGCTATTGTAGGTGGCCCGCATATATAGGTGACCCGTCCAGGCAGACACTGACACGATGCGGGCGTGTGGCAGGGAGCGATGTTAGCGAGTTGTTTCTTTGTTTAATGCAGCTGGGCCGGTCGACGACGAACGTGAAGCGTGACGGTCCTGGTCCCCATCACACCTTTATCAGTGGGATGAATATGAGAACTGCGAGCGCTGATGTGCGGGCAGATTCATCATTCTCTAATGACAACAGCATGCCTCGTGTTTCGGCGCAGAGTTGTCATTATGTGTAGCTTATAAGCTCCTGAATACAGGAGTGTTGTAAAGTATTCTTGGGTGCTCTTGTGTTCTTGTGCTCTTGAGTGATATCTGAGAATTGATCGAGTGGGATGGGGTGTGGGAGCGTCAGGCGCATGTTAGTGTGCCAGGTTATAGAAGATAAGGTGGTATATTCTTCAGTTCCCCTGCGCATACACATGTCCTGACGACGTGTAATTTTGCCGTATTTCCTTGCAGTGATAGCGGCGTGTTTCATGGCTGGCAGATTATTGACTGGCAGATTATTGGCTGGCAGATCAAGGAAGGTGCCGATGTGCGTGAGGGTGGGTCACCGGCGCCTTCGGTGACGTCGGTGATCGTTTTCATTGCGTTGTTGTGCTTGCGGGGTGTGCCTGAATTTATGCATTGTAATATTGGAAGATTGTGGCATTTTATTTTGCTGTTGGCAGCAGTTCATCTAAATTTGTCGTTCTTAGTCCCGATTTCTTTGGATATTTGTTCAGTAGGCCGCTTGGAGACGCACCGATCGATTTATCCATGGAAGTCCTAGCGCTTGTTCGGCGAAGTCTTTGTTGCGATGATCGCTGATGCATAAGGGGGAGCGTGAGAGTGAGGTGGCACGATAGTTGTTTGGCATCGTTCGTCCGTGCTGGGCTTGGGATAGGTAAGTGGCGAGAATATGCGTTGTGATGAGTAATGCAAGCCCTCTATGTGAACTATCACTGACATTTCTGGATTCCATAGTCAGTGCACGTTGTCGGGCCCAGCGCTGATGGATCTCAGTCCTTGAAAGGCGATATTTAATTCAGCTGGGGGTGAATCACATGCTGCATGGGTGAAGGCCAACAGGCGCTGGCGTGGCAAGCCACTGAATGAGCGTCCTTCAGTGACGAAATTAAAAAAGTTTGACCTTTGCAATGAAATGTGGAGTTTCTATATGTAGTTCGGCTGTGGTCACCATGTTCCCGTCCTGCATCCATGTTTTACATGGCTACATCTCTCCCACTGCGCTGGCGAGCGCGTCGGCCAATCAGAGCAGCTTAGCCTGTTCGCTGTTTCAGGCGCCCGCTGTCCAGCCGCACCCGAGAGCATTCTCGTCGCTCGGTCGCCTGCCAGCGGCTGAGTGCCAGTGACCCGGAGCTGGTGCTGCCGCGGCAGGAGCCGCAGCCGGCTGGCCGCCGCCGGCCGGCGCTCACACGCGGCCAGGCCACCGAGCTGCAGGAGGCCCCGTCGGTCGAGAGGCCGCACCCCATTGGCGCCGAGCAGTTGCCGGCCCCGCCCCGGGCCCCGCTGCCGCCGCAGGCCGCGTCCTCCGAGCTCAGTCTGCGTAGTAGCGACTCGCTCTTTTGGGACGAGCTGATCGGCATCGCGTGCGAGCGAGAGCGTCGCTACTGGGCCAGCTTCTTGCGCTGGGAACAGCGGCGCGGCATGTACCGGCCGGTGAGCATGCCTGGCAGCATGCACCGACTCGCCGAGGAGCACCGCTCGCGCCGTCAGGTGGTCCGTGATGTGGTGCGCCGGCTGTACCCGGGCCGGCGCGGCGCCACGGCGGCGAACTCCGGCCGCGCTGACAGACTCCCGCCGACTTTAGACGAGTCTGAGGCCGAGTGGTGCTGCTGTGGCGGCAGGAAGCGGCGCAGAGAGAGCTCTATCGAGTCACGGCCGCAGGAGAAGCGTAGCCGCCTGATGGAGGCTGACGCCGACCTCGAGCGGGTGCAGCGTGAGGAGACGCCGCCAGGGAGCGAGGTCAAACCGCCGCAGGCCGAGCGTCGCGGGGTCGCTGTTGGCTCTCAGTTCGGCTCTGCCCCAGACGTCGACCTGGCTCCGCGTCGACGCCAGCGACTGGACTCCGCCCGGCTGGTGGCTGAAGTCTCGGCGCCCAGCAGTCAGTATGACCTGTCGACGCTGTCGGCGGCGCCGCCGGTGTCTGCTTTTTCGCGATCCGTTGACGAGGGCATCGGCACCAGCTTCGATGTTTGCGCGGCGGCCTTCTCGGACGACAGTTTGGAGCCGAGCCACCTGGGCATCTCACAAGACTCGCTCGACATGATCGACGCCGACTCGGTCGAGGAACTCAGTGGAGGCAAACGGCTCATCGACAGCATGTTCGACTACGCCAACCAGGGCCAGGTGGTGATGGCGCCGTCGCCGGTCGACGCGTCGGAGCTGGTTAGGAATACGGGACGTGACACTGTGATCCGGATCACCATGAGGAGGGCGTCGGCCTCGTCGGAGAGTGAGTGGGGCAGCGTGTGTTCCAGCCTGGGCCACCGAGCGGGCCGTTCGATGCGGGCGGACGTAAGGCGGCGGGCCGAGGAAAGGCTCTCCTGCTCCGGAGCCTCCGACTCGGAGGATGACGCGAGGCTCGTGTCGGCCGCCGGCAGTTCGCTGCGAGCAGACTGGCTGCCGGTGAACACGCCCGCACGACTGAGCGCCGATGACACGACGAGCTTCGAATCGGCTCTCGATGAGGGTTGGGCGGCCAGTCGGGCCATGCCCGTCCCGTCACCGCCGCCCCCGGCGATATACGTCGACGAGTACGAATCGCCGGACGCGCCGGTCGGCTGGAAGCGCCACAGTCGGCTGTCGAACTCCGACTCGCTGGAGACAGAAGAGATGCGCCCCTCGGAGGAACCAACCGCCGATGAGGAGACGCCGCTCCGACATGACCTTTACACAATCGTCGAGACCGGCGTCGAGGCCGACGCGGCCATCGATTTCCGTGCGGAGCATCCATCAGCGCACGCGCCGCCGTCGGCTGCCCGGGCGATAGCCAGTAAACAGAGGGAGCCGGCGAGCGGCGCGCCGGCCCCAGCTGTCGGCGCGCCAGTGCGCGGCCCGTGTGCACGCTGTGACGAGTGTCAGCTGTGCGATGACGCTGATTACCGGCTGCGCTCGCGCCTGGCGGCGGTGGCGGCCGGCCCGGTCGCCGGCTGGATAGACGCGGACATGTGGGAGCGCTACGTGTCGCGGCTCGATTGCCGCAGCCACCTGCTGTTGCAGGAAGCGCGCCGCCGACCCGGCATCGCCGTCAGCCTGTTGGTGCGTTCCCACAGTCTTCCTGACCTGTGTGAGCAGCCGGCCGGCGCTCAGGTGTCGCGACTGTACCGCTCGGCTCTTACGGTCACCGTGCCAGGCCGCGCGCCGCCGCTGTCGTTGGACGCCACGCTGCACTCGCTGCCACCCGAGCTCAGGGAGCGCACGTCGGCCGTGCCTTGCGACAGCATACCCGAAGATGACGACAGAAGCTCAAGGGGGTCGACGGATGGATCAGAAGACAGCCCCAAGGGTAGGTCAGGGTTCGGCGACGATGAGGAGTGCGCTTCGTCCGCGCTGGAGGACGAGTCGCTGCCGTCGCTGCACACGCTGTCTGGATCGTCGCAAGGTGATCTCTCGATCTCCTTTGGGGAGGACGCGCCCAAGATCGGTTTGTTTGACTCTCTCTCGCAAAGTGACTATCCGCTGCCCTCGGGACGCGACGTGGGCCCAAATCTCCCCGACGATGAACAGCAAGCAGGAGAGCAGGCGGTAGCGGAGACGCTCGGTGGTGACCTATCACAACCTACCGGCGTCTTGAGTCACGAGGGTACGGAACGACTGGTAGAGCGCGTGGAAACAACTGAGACCCTCCGGCCATCCGGGGCAAGGATTGTCACCTATGAAATTGTGGAGGAAGTTAATGTGTACGTGCAGGGGGCTGGAGAGACGCGGATATCCACCGGCTTCTCGACCAGTGTCGCACACGCTCCCAACCAGGTTGTAGTCGGAGCTGGGGATGCGGCAAAACCGTGTCCCAGACAGGAGACATCCGCTGCGTGCTGGAAGCGGGACGAGATCTCGCCAAGTTCGCAAGCCCAGACATCGTCGGATCAACAGATTGAGGTACTACATCTGAGTCCCAAGCGCCGGAAAGTCATCACATCCAGTCTCGACGTGGAGGCCCGGCTGCGAGAGGGGCCCCAGACCGAGCCGGAAGATTCGGTAGGGGGCGACTCGACATTTCGGGTGATTTACTCAAATAGCTCGGAGTCGCCGAGCTTAGAACTCTTGGCGTCGACAACCGAGTCCGATTCCGACCGCGAACAAGACCGCGACCGCGAATACGGCGAGGACTCGGGAAAACACAAACCTTCGACCAGTGGCGCCACCGCCTGCATGAATATTGCAACCGAGCCAGTCGACAATGCCTCGAAACGCTCCCCGTGGGAGGGTTCCGTGACGGGGCCCGGCACGGCGTCAGCCGAGCTGCATTCCGACAGCGGGCGTTCCGCCGTGTTCGTCGCTCCATTTGCTGGCACGCACGGCGGCGGGCACGACCAGTCTCCGTCTCCTTTCCGGCTCATCGCCAACGTTGAGGACGAGGAAGTGCAGATTTCCAGCAGCGAAATTCCCGCAAGGCTGCCAGTCGACCATGCCCCCGTGAACGAATCCCCAGTCATTGCCGAGGACGAAACGACTGGGAGGTCAGGGGAAGGCCCTGATGCGACCCTCCCGCCAACCGTGCCGCAAGTGCCGGACATGCGCGCGTGTGACCCACATAGGCCCGCAGGCGATCGACCGGGCGAGGACTGTAAAGCGGTTGCGTTCGTGCCGAGGCCTGATGGAAGTCAAACGGAGCCGGCCGACGACCTGCGCCAGGCTTCCGCCAGGGATATCGACGTTGAAAAGCTCCTCGATCGAGCGCCGTCGCCCCCGACTATTTGTGGCACTGGTGGCGACCTGGAGCCGGCCGAGGATGAGATCACCGCCAGTGGAATCAATGCGACGGACAGCATCCAAGAAGCCGCTTGCGCCCGTGACGACAACTCACCGTCGGCTGGTGATTTGGAACACGCCAGTGCTGACAGCAAACCGCCGGTCGTCTTCATCTTCGAAGTGGAAGCTCAGGGTGCTCTACTGCGCAGCGATGAGCCAGAGTTTATCGACGCAGACGGTGACAAGCCGAGGCCAGCCAGAGAGGCGAAGATCGTGGCGCCCGAGTCATCGCCTTCAATGACTCCCGCCGAGGCGCAATTTTTCTTCTTCAAGACAACTGAAGAGGAGGTGAGTCTCGAAACTATCGAGGAAGAGATTGTCGAGGCGTTCGAGTCGTCCGCCTCGCTGATCAGCTCGAGCTCCAGCAGCCACTCGAAGAACACCTCGCGCGACGTAGAGAGCGAGAGCCTGAAGTCGGACGTCATAGGTGGCGGCGCGGCGTTCTCGGGCCGAGGGTCTGAGGCCGCGGATGAGTCTCCGAGAGAGCTCCCAGCTGGTGTCAGACTGATGGGAGACGGTGCGCAAACTGGAAATGAACAGACCGCTGCCGAAGGAGGAGAAATAGTCGCGTCAAACATCGCTGAGACAGAAAGCCAAGAGAGCAAGGACGAGATGGAGCAGAACGCTTCCCCTAACCTCATCGCACAGTCAGTCGTGGAAAGCCCTCGAGGAGGCCCCGTGCTTAGCGAGATCGAAGCCCCCAATGAGATCACTGACCACACGTCAGAAACGGCCGGCTTGTCCAGCGGGCACGGCACCAGCGTATCCAGCAACGTGCAAGCGGACCGAGAGCTGGACGAGACATTCAGGCGGCTGGAGGTGATGTCTTCTTCTGCTTTGCAGAGCAAAGCGGGGTCAGAAGGCGAGAGCGACACGACGGCCGAACCTCAGTCCGGTAGCCCCCGGCTACCCGAGATACCTGAGCGGCATGACGTTAGCACGTTTGGGAGGTGTGACGCCAGGGATGCAGGTGCCAGCCAGGAGCTGACTGAAGACCTGGAGGGTGTACGTGATGACGTTGCAACAGACGACATGGAGGGTAAGCTTGATAAAGTTGATGCTGAAGTCTATCAGGAGAATCTGGGGCTCGCTAGGACTCCGGGCTCAGAAAGTGACGTAGAGACACAGAAAAATATCAAGGCCACTGAGATGGGGAATGGACACGAAAACCAAAAACTTGATGCAGCAGCAATGTCTGATGCTGGGTATGAGGTAGAGAGAGGAGCCGATGGCAATGCTGATTCAACGGAACAGGCGTTGACGACATTGAACAACACCGCGCGCGAAGTATCGGATTTGTCTCACGGAACTTCCGCGGTTTTCGTTGAGGACGTCAAAGAACCAACTGCAGAGCCAGATGAAGCATTTCCTAATAGACCCCATTGTGCAGCCGCGCCTTATCCTGAGGAGACGCCGAAAGTAAAGCAAGGAATGAGTTGTTCAGATGAAGGTCCAGCCTTGACGGTGCGGAGTATGTTAAACGATCAGGTATCGTTGGATCCAGAAAACTTTCGGCAAAGCGAACTCGCGGCGGCATCCACTTCAGATGACAACGGAGCATCAGGGAATCACCAAGATGCTACAGCTTTGTCTCTGCAGGAAGTAACGATGCAGGAGGAACAAAAAGAGGATGCGCCGTCTGGAAACACTACAGGTTCACCTGATGAGTGGTCAACTGAAGCAGCAGTGCCTGCAAAAACAAGCAGCCCAGAGAAACAGTCAACGGAAAGTGGGAGAAATTGATGATCTCAGCGAAACTAGGCCCAAGAAAGATCCCCAGGATGCGTGGCCTGAAGCAGCCCCCGCGGTTCATGAGCCTGCGCACCCCGCAGTGGCAGCAGAAGACTTCGCAGTGGCGGTTTTTGAGCCAGACAGGGAGCCGCCATACGTGGAAACATCGGCAGAGGTAGAGATTACCGTATGGGAGAACGTTGAGGAAGATCGTCCACCTAGTGAGCTTGTTCATGACACAAGTGAAGTGATGGAAATAGAAGGAGCAGCAAACATATTGAACGAACAATGTGCTGTTGAAGATGACAGCAATTCGACTCAGATAGTTAATGACTCTCAAGGAATGGGTCGGGATGTGGCGATTGGGGAAAAAGCGACTGTGGCATCAAGAAAAGCTGATGTAGAAGGTTCATGTCACACACCACGCACGGAAGACGCACACATCGACGGGGACGCACCGTTAACACCTCTGAGGATACCACCAGAAGAAAGCCCAGTCGATGGATGTGAAAGCTGTCTGAAATACGCCCTCGAATTATCTGAGCCGGAGCAGGGGGAAGAGGTTGTCGGTTTTGACGTCAACAATCCGGTCGCTCAGGTCACGTCGGTCCGTATCGATCCAACAACGCAGCCACTGACGAAGAAAACGATCGGCGCTAGTGAGCTATCGACAGGAAGGAGTTGGGAGATGTTGACAGCGGAGAGCATTGTGTATGCAGATTTGAGGGAAAGAGCGGATGAAAAGATCGAACGAGTCGTCCATTGTACTGAGACGACGGTGCAAGTGGCTGGCCTGGAGTATGAACCGTCGGAAAAAGAGGGCACTTGTGATCGTGCTAGTAGCTGTGCTGAGGACGGGAATGGGGCAGCTGTAGGTGGCAATAGGAGTGCGGCCTGCAGTGAACCCAGACGGGACAGGCCATCCCCATCAAAAGCTCAGCATGACACGGAGTCGTTGGACGCTGACCATGCGTACTTGGATATAGCGGATCAAGTTATCAGCAAGGACATCGACAGAGAATCGGACACCAAAGGGCCCGCAAGTTCAGCATGCGAAGGTACTTCGACGCTGGAGATTCTTGACACCTCGATCGGAGATGAGCCCAAACCGATCAGAGCAGAGCCAAATGACTCTATAGAGCCTCTCGTTGTTCGTCGCTGGTCTTACCAGTGTGGATCAAAGGAAAAAATAACTACAGGTCGGTCTGCCAGTGTGGATCTCAGCAGTGTTCAGCACGCTTTCCAGCGTGAAATTGGCGATGAAAGCAAATGTAAATCGGTAAACCGCCAACCCTCTATCGAGGAAAATCCTACCGTGAACATAGAGGAGCGCGAGATTCCGCGCTTTGACAGTGTGGGGGCAGGGAATGACATGTTGTTGGAGGAGGTCCAAACAGGCGTTGGGGGTATAGCAGGTCACACCAGGCACGGCGAAGTGAAAACATGTCTTGAGTGCGTAGAGGCATACCTTAATGTGGATGAAAAGAAGCCAGCAGATGAACACGTCCCAATTACCCATGACGTTTTCGTTGAGAAGCTCGGCCACATCGCGACAGCAGAAGAAGAAGCTGTTGAGAGCTGCCTGCAAACACGAGCCAGTAGCTGTGAGAGAACAATGACGACGGTACAGGAGTTCGTTGAGACAGCTGGCCCAATGCAGCCTGAAAACGGCGCGCGAGGTCGTCGTCAAGAAGGCTGCGCTGTGCCCCAATCTAAAGGTACGCACGAAGAATCCGAAAAAGTTATGGCCGATGACCCAATGGTTGCGGGTGAGACAATCCTGTCTCCAGATGATCTTCAGGGGCACCTTTTGGAGGAGGTTGAGCGCCAGATGTCATCTTTAGATGTCCCGGAATCGCTTGAGGCTAGTTCAAAGGAGGACGAGGAGGAGATCTTCTACAGCTTTGACACTGAAGACGAGACTGTGATGGAATCAATGCGGCCACGGCATACTGTTGCAGATGCTTTTCTATCATCTGAAAGCGCAGACTTCACAGAGATAGTGATCTCTGTTGGCAACCAAAGAGCCATCATTGCGAATGATGAGACAGCGGAGGACTCGGATGGTTCAGAGAATAGCACTCCCCGCATATCCAGCAATGGTCGAGACAATGGCCGTAGCCCATCCTCATTTAATATCAATAATATGTCTGGGTCTCGTCCAGATGGTCCTGAGCGCGTCAGGCATACGTCCGTCGAAGAAGGGCCGCTCCTCAACTTTTCTGATGTGCTCCATGAAACGCCCCTTACCCTGAACTGTCCGGAAGAGCTGGCCGTGTCGGATGGATCGGAGGCAGAGGACTGGGAACCGCCGCCGGCTGCTGCCATACACCGAGCGCTGCCCAGGCTCACCCTGCCACAGCGGACTTCGCTCAGGGAGCTGGACGGCTCGCTCTCGCCGCGGGAGGCGGTGCCGTCGCCGCCGGTGGCTCGGCCGCTGCGGGCGCTGACGCCCACCCTGACGGACATCACCGAGACGGAGGGCGACAGCCACGAGGAGCCGCCCAAGTCAGTGGCTCACCTGTCGCTGACGCGCCTGACACGCTACAGCCACAACCTCAGCGGGGAAGAAGACGCCCGACCGAGAACATCTTCCACTGGCGCCGACCGAATCGTACCAGATGAGCATACCGCCACCGGCCGACCCCACACCGCCACCGGCCGTGCCCGTGCCGCCACCGGCCGTCCCCGTGCCGCCACCGGCCGTGCCCGTGCCGCCACCGGCCGACACCATACCACCACCGGCCGACCCCATACCACCACCGGCTGACCCCATACCGCCCTCGGCCGACCCCACACCGCCCCAGGCCGACCCCATACCGCCACCGGCCGTCCCCGTGCCGCCAGCGGCCGACCCAAAGGTGCAGATGTGGCAGCAGTACGTTGAGCTGCACCGCTCCGACGCTGCCAGCGCACCCGAGCCGGCGCCGCTGGGACTGGGCTCCGCTGACGTCATGTACCTGTACATTGAGGCGGCTGGTTGTGACAGCACGTCCGCCCTGTCTGAGGTGGGCCTGAGCTCCGCCGTGCCGCGCGAGCAGCACCGCGAGCCGGCCACACGGCTCGAACGCACCGTCTCCATGGATAGCGTGCGGCCGGCGCGGCGGGCGTGTGGTGACATCCCACGCAGCTGCAGCGTCGATGCCATCGCGCCGCTGGACATGAACAACATTATTGCGATGGGTCGGCTGCATTTGGTGAGCGGCGAGCCGGCGCCGCTCCACGACGAGCTGGAGGATCGCGCCGCCCGCTCGAAGAAGTGCGTCTCTTGGAACGACCTGCACGGTTCGGGTGAGCTGGAGGTGGTGCTGCAGTCCCCAGATGGTGAGCGCTCACCGCTCGTTTCGTCCCTCTCGACACTGACCGCATCTGAGGCGCCCCGCCCAGCCGTGCCACCAGCGACAAGCGACGAGCTCAGCGACGGGTCCAGCAGTGCCTCGGACGACCCGGACCTGGTGCTGGACGGCGTGCAGCTGCGCGAGCCGCACCAGCGCCCCTCCAGCTTCAGCCTGACCATGCCGCCGGACGTGCGACAGCGGGCTAGGCGATACCCAGTGGCGGGCCCGACACTGACGGCAAGCTTAGAGACAGCCGACTGGGAGCTGCTGGGGCGCGGCCCGACCTCGCCACCCCTCGGTGTCCGTCTGGCCCACTGCCGCCACGCAGACACCGTGTGACGCTTCCTCGCAGACGGACCTGAACGAAAACAACTCGTCTGATGCGCTGCTAGGACACCCGCACGGGTTATCGGACCACTACCGTCTACCTCCGTCGCCAACGCGAAATTACGGGTACATCCCCCACTATACCAACACCAGTTGCCGTCATCGGCCATCCTGTAACACGTTTGGCGCGCGATCGTTCTCCTTCAGCGACGGGCTGGAAACCGGGTACCCCTATCGCAAATTTCGCCCATCTTCGGACAGCTACGGTGAGCGGTGTGCCTCCGACACCCACAACACGCACTTGCACAACGTTCCCCGCCCTTCCGATCGTCATTACGTTGCCCATCAGCCCTCCGCTTACTTCACAGACCAATCCTCCACCTACCGGCCCTTCTACAAGGATGCAGGGCTGGTGCCTGCAAGGCCCCTCTCGCGGGCCGACGCCCTGGAGCGCCAGGTGCGTGCCGAGGTTGAGAAGTTACGACAGGAGCGTGAACGTGGTCGCATCCGCTGGGACCGGGAGGAGCCGGAGCGGCAGCGCCGACTGCGCCAGGTGGAGGACAGCCTACAGCAGAGCCTGGTGCAGATGCGCGCGCTGGTAGAGCGACGCCGCGCGTGCGGTCGCGTCTTTGTGCACACGCTGCCGGCCGTATCGGCGGCCCGGCACGCCGCGCTCACTACCCAGGTCCCAAGCTACCAGCTGAAGGGGGCCACGGCCGAGGCGGACCAGCTCGACGACCAGCTGCCCCACGAGTGGGACCGGAACGGCCGGCTGGAAGACGTCACGATCGGCGGGCGTGACTACGCCAGCGGGCTGCGACCGGCGCCGGCCAACGGCAGCGTCACCACTATCCTGCACCAGGAAATCCGCGTGCCCTGCTGCGGCCGCTTCCACGGCCCCACCCACCAGCCGTCCAACCGCCGCATGACGCCGTCCGAGTACCGGCAGCACCTGGCCGCCATCCGCCGCAAGATCTTGGCCCGGTCGGCCTGCACGCCGACGGCCGCTGGCGCCACTCCGGGCCGCCGACCGGCGGGCCGGGTCGGCCGCTGTGGCTCAGGTCGGACAGAGTGTGGCCCGGTGACGCGGTCGGAGCCGGACCTGACTCGGCCAGGGCTCTGGCAGTCCAGGAACACGCTGGCTGGCGCCGGCTCGGCCGTCGAGCTCGGTGACCGGCTCTTTAGTCAGGACAGTGACTACGCGTCAGCCGAGCTGGACTGGGCGAGATTCGGGCAGCTTTGATCTATGATCTAAGTTGTTTTCAGTGCCCGCCTGTCATGGTGCATACGGGACTGTGAGGGAGGCTCCTCTTGTTATCCTCTGTGAAAGTGTATTTGTTGCACTTCCCTCAACCTAGTTTGCCCTTGGTGAAGCAATTTTTGACCATCCCTCGCGCAAACATGCTTCAATAATTGTTATTTTATGATAAGGTGAGATGGTACCATAATTTTGGTTGATTGCTTTAGCTTTACGAACTCAGCTTTTTTCCGTTCAAAGCTGTGCTGAATGAACGGGCTATAAGACGAAGCGTTTTTATTTTACTGCTTCTCATTGCTGCGCTTTGTTTTGTTCTGAGAGCATCTCATGTGTTCAGACCATGTGTCAGGCCCGTATTTCGCCTGGTGTGGTAATGTTTTCGAACACGAACAACGACTAATGCGATAATAGTATGGACCACTTTTCTTGTTGATATCTGCCGTTCGGTTCTGGTGGTTCGTTTAATTCCGCAGAATATTGGTCAAAAAAAATGAATCAATGCTGCGTTATTTTTCCCTCTATTTATAATGAGTGTTGGATGTTGAAGACTGACCTGTTGCTAACTGAACTCGGATGTCTCTTGCTAGCACACATTCCTTTAGCCTATGTATCTTAACGCGAGAAATAAATATGCAAAGGAACCGTATTTATGGAACATAAATAGTCGAACAGAGCGAAAATTTAAGTTGGAAATAAAAATGACGTCCAAATGCTGGTCCGGTTCATGACAGGATCTGACGGAACATTACCGTTTGGCCAAAAAGACCTGATTCACATTCACTAACCGTCTCTGCTTCACGACGGCTTCAACAATTTCGTCTTCGTGTTCCCTGCGTGCGCTGCTTTGCATGTGTCCTCGCAGGAGAACGTGTGCAACACATTTCTTGTTTGATGTTGTCGGCTAGTGCTGCTTTTGTTACGTGCTGGTAGAAGACCACCACCGCGGCAACGCCGAACGGCGCATTGTGTTGAAGTTCATTCGACGAAAGAGTAAGTATTTTGCTGTATGTCTATGTCCCAGTAACTATTAGGACTCTTACAGCTCTGACTGCTGAGATGCGTATTGTTAGGAATACCTTTTGACATAATACCACACCACACGGTTACATTAATATTTGCCGAGCGCCCTACGGCAGAGATCCTTTTGACCGTGCTTTCTGTGGCCATGTTCGCAGACCCGGCATCTTAGCGTGTGACGGGTGAGTGTGCGCATGTCATAGTGCGCTATTTTGAGCTTTCTGACGTCATTAGTGTTGCTCACACGTCATGCAGGTCTGTGTAGCTCATATGACCACGACAAGCCATGAAATATTATTGTACCACGTGGAAAAGTCGGTCAGCGATATGGTAAGGTTTCATCCGGATATCATATTATCCTAAAGTGCTAATTTCAGGAACCCAACGTCGGATGATAATGTCGTCTTGTGGATGTTTTTAGAAAACAAAATGGTTTGCATGGTTTCATTTGCCTCGAGTTCATATAGTTCAAATTGTATGTTGCAAGCAATTGGCACGGACATTAATTGAACCAAACATGAGCAATTTTGAGCCATCAGTAACGTCAAAACATTTGCTAAGGTCTTTCACTCCAAGCAGAAACTTTCACCCTGTCCATGACAACCAGAATCCGGTTGGAGACGCCGAGGGCAGTTTCAGTGGGATGCCGGAAGCTATAACCGTGTTGGGTAGGGGCACGAATGTGATTTTGGAAAAAAAAACAAGATTGATGATATCGCTTGGTAACCTTCTCCATGGTATTAGCAATTAATGGATTTGTTTAAATTTGGTGATGGTTGTGCGTTCAAATCGGTGTTCGGAAAAGGGCTACTCGCAGTTTGCCAAATGCCTATTCGTCGACTGCTTGATGACGACTTTCATATTGCTGATATATAAAATGTCGACGTGCCAAAAATCGAATCGGCAAAATGGTGAACTGCAAAATGCCGGCATGGAACAAAGGCGACATGCCCAAATAGCGAACTGCTAGTGCTGCTAATGCTAATGCATTCTGAACACGGCACGATTTTGGCGTCCCCATTTTGGTATCCGAATCTGCTGATGCCGAAAACGTCTACGTCATAAATTTCATCAGCTGTTTCCAAAAGGACTGCTATTGGTCATAGGGCAGCTGGGAAAGGGGTTACGAGTTCATGCTACTGGTTGTGTCTCAACTCTATTCACATTGATTCATTGCCTGATGCGTGAATGGCAGCGCGTGGAGGTGGCATCTAGACATGTATCCAGTCTGCGTTTACGTTACTGTGTTTATCGTCGCAACCGAAATTTCTGTAGCCGCAAAATTGAGAGCCTTTGGTGAAGGATAGAACCGTTTGTGATGACATGGCTGGAATTGGCCGCATGTGTATGTTGGTGTCATTGGGGTTTTACGACGCACTCAGCTGCTGAGGGTATCTGGCGTGTCTGTTGATGCCGCGCTAAAGAAAACCTTTCAGCAGGTGTTGGATATCCCCTGTGATCATGGGTAACGCGTTTTATATCGTTTTGTGTGGTCTAATGCATGGTAGAACCACGTGCCTGCGATGGGGAGGGGTACTGGGGAATCGGTATTGGGGAGGTTAGTTGGAACTCGAGTGGTGTAGGCTGACAGAAAGAAGTAGCTTCAGCGGAAGCTATAAAATATGTGCATTTTCTAGGCAAACACAATTATGCCATGAAAATGGGGATACATCCCTAACCCTCCCCCCCCCCCGTGGTTACACGTATGATCCTGGATGAGTTTATGAATATGCACCTCTTTTTGCCCTATATGGCGTAATATGAACGATCTCAACTTACGCTAGTATGCCTTCTTACAATTAAGTGCACCCAGTGCTTAAGTGCACTGTGAGAAGCATTATGGGTATAGATTAGAAAGTACCGTAAGCTTATTCGAATGCTGATATTCGTTTTGACAAAATCATGTGGCCGAGATACCAGCACATTCATCTCTCCTTCCTCCTGGTTGAGTTATGAGGAATAGGGCTAACAATGCTGTCTTGTTTTTTTTTTTAATCATGTCACGTAAAAGCACATCAAATGATACCTCCTGCAATTTCGCAAAGTCCATGCAAACCCAATGACCCTTTCGCTTGAGTTGCAGGCTATTCTTCCTTCTCACTGTACAGGGTTCGTGTTGAAATTCCAAACCTTTTTTGGGGTGATCGAAGCTTTATTGTAGCATGTGGAGCAGCACCCTTGATGCACTCCCCACCCCTGCCCTAGAACTCACATCCACGATCACCACGCACACACGACAGTCAGACGAATTCGTGTCTATGCTCCTTGGGAATGATAGGATATCACGAGACGTGTTTAGTGAGCATAACATTCTTTAATACGTAAACCATCGCCCCATAAGGGAGGGGCCTCGTGAGCTCTCCCCCAAGGGTTTTCTGGAGCCATGTTGTGGGGCCAGACTCCCAACGGTAAGTTTGGCCTCCCAACCTTCTGGAGTCTAAGCGCAAACAGAACATTACACGTGAGAACTTAAAATTATATGAATTTAAAGATTTCTTATCAGTGTTTCACAGGCAAAAGGAACACAAAGAAAGTGCAAACTCCAAGGTCAGTTTAAATTGAGCGCAGCTGACGGAGCTCGTTAAACTGCGCGTGCTGCAACATTTCCAGTTTTTACTTCATTCTGAATGTCTGAATTGTACCGCTCGTATGCCCTGTTGATCTTGTTTCTAGTTTTGGGTTATTGCCTGAATGATTTGTGTTGTTCAGCGATGTTTCAACTCCTTAAGACTACGGCAAGCTGCGGCCACAGCAAAGTTCTGCCACAAAGCATTATCGGAGAAATGATGCGTGCTCGGGCGTAGGGTCAAGTTGTAGGGTAGGGCGTAGGGCGTAGGGTCAAGTTGACCTCCCAAAGGTTTGTACGAAATATTATCCAAAGGACTCGGCGCAGCCGCGCCAAACTTTGCATGGCTGTAGGCAACTGAGCAGCGGATTGTTTACTACAAAGATGTATATGCCTTGCAAGGTCATTAACGTATGGCAGATCAAAGTCAGACCGTAGCTGTCGGTGTGTGCGATTTCTAGGGCTTCGTTCAACCTGACGCGACAAAGGAGTGTGAAACGAAGCTATACATCTCTGAGATAGTTTCTAGACAATTGGCCAAGTGAATTTAGAAAATCTACATATCTTCTGACGTTTCTTCATCTGTGAAGGTCAGACTAAGGTCAACACCAACTTATTTTTTACTCGAAAGCTTGCTGTATGAGATAGTTTTTGATAGTCATTTCAAATGTGTTTATAACACGGACCGCATTAGACATCTTCCATGGATTTCTTAAAGGGAATGTTCCACATATGAGGAACTTGAAGCAAGCATCAGACATGATGCAATGAGCTCACTTATGTAACTATTGGAATGCTGAATCTTTAGCGGTAATCTTCCGATAACGATCTGCAAACAACGCTAGGCGTTTCGAACATGCCTCGCGTGATTACTGCTTTGCAGCCTGAAGTCCGCCTCGCGGCTTCCTGCCGGGTTTTCCGTGGCAGCCTATAATAGTCGCGTACGTCACTTTACACAATTAATTATTGAACCACACGCGTCCAACAGCTTCTAAAGCCACATAACATCGACCACCCGCTGGTTAGTGAAACCTAGTTTTTTCGTCGAGGCAAGAAAAATATATCATTATCCCCGGCGACAACATCTTACACTGAGCCAGAGCGAGAAAACATGTCTGCAAAGTCATCTAAACAGCTAGGTGAGACATCTGCTCCCAAACTTTGAGAGAAAGGTGGGGCAAATCCTGATAGAAATTGTGCTTAGTGTGTTTTAGGGGCAGATTTAGCTATTTTCTCTGACCAGCAACCCAAATCTGTTTCGCTAAACTACACCCCTGTGGTGGGCGTTTAATGACCGTGACAAGCGACGGATTTGCCACCAATTGCTTCACCGCCCAGCCCACACCCAAGTGAAAGGTGTCTGAGCCGAGAGACAAGTGGCTCCAAATTGATGTAAGGTGAC